CTGCAGCCATGAAATTAAAAGACACTTACTCTTTGGAAGGAAAGTTATGACCAACCTAGACAGCATATTAAAAAGCATAGACATTACTTTGTCAACAAAGGTCCATCTACTCAAGGCTATGGTTTTTCCAGTAGTCATATATGGATGAGAGAGTTGGACTATAAAGAAAGCTGAGCACCAAACAATTGATGCTTTTGAACTGAGGTGTTGGAGAAGACTCTTGAGAGTCCCTTGGATGGCAAGGAGATCCAACCAGTCCATCCTAAAGGGGATCAGTCCTGAGTGTTCATTGGAAGGACTGATGTTGAAGCTGAGACTCCAATACTTTGGCCATCTGATGTGAAGAGCTGACTCATTGGAAAAGACCCTGATGCTGGGAAAGATTGAGGGCAGGATGAGAAGGGGACGACAGAGGATGAGATGGTTGGATGGCATCACCTACTCAGTGGACATAGTTTAGGTAACGTCCCGGAGTTGGTGATGGACAGGGAGGCCTGGTGTGGTGCAGTCCATGGGATCGCAAAGAGTTGGACACGACTGAGGAACTGAACTGAACTGAATTAACATGATTAGTATAGAACTCACCATGACTTTATTAGGATTACTTATATTTAAGTGCTATCAATAAAACTGGGGAAATACTAGTGGTTTTCCAACACTTTGAGCCATCCCTGAGCTTCTAATCCACCATGAACATAGCCTCGTTTGAGCTGAACCACTTCTTCAAGTGGCCTAACATGCTTTAATTCATATAAATAATGTGGGGTTGAAAATATATATATATGCCCTTGGAAATTATATTAAAAATATTTGTCTTATAATTTCTCTAATATGTCAAAAATGGGACTTCTATGAGGCTTTCATTAGGACTTATTAGTTCATAAATTCAGGTACAGCAATTCCAAGTTTAATAAAGTAATTAGACTAAGCTCAGATAAAAGTGATTCTCTGTAACTGTGAGTGAAATCAACAGAATTTCACTGTGTGATTTTGATTCATATCCAAATGATGGCACCAATTTCATATGCATTTCCAGGAAATAAGTTTAAAAATAAATCTTCAATGCTTAAAATATAATCATGTCCAAATCTCAGCTTCAACTTCTTTATCACTACTAGTTTCTTATCTTTCTCCTTGGCTCTTCAAAGTCATGAGTTTCATACCTTCATTCCTGATCTGTACTTGGTAGTGTGAAATATTCAAATTAATTTAGGGATTTCTTAGATATCCCTTTTAAAATATTAATTTTAAGAAACAGTAAATGTGATAGCCAGCTCCTAACAAATAAGAAATATAGAACCATACATACTTTAAACCCTCAGTTTAAAAGGTTCATTAAAAATACATGTCTAACTTTTGCATCCCATTTTTGGCTTCCCTGGTGGCTCAGAAGGTAAACGCATCTGTTTGCAATGCAGGAGACCAAGGTTTGATCCCTGGTTCAGGGAGATCCCCTGGAGAAGGAAATGGCAACCCACTCCAGTACTCTTGCCTGGAAAATTCTATGGATGGAGGAACCTCGTAGGCTATAGTCCATGGGGTCGCAAAGATTCGGACACGACTGAGCAACTTCACTTTCACTTTTCACTTTTGTATTAATATGTTATGAAGAACTACCATCTAAAATAAATTCATAGTATTCAGGTGTTATTTTTAATAAGTTAAAATTGAGAAAAGTCTTTTTACTTACATTCAATTAATTAAGGCCCTGAGTTAGACATCAAACTAAATTTAGGGTTAAATAATTTGAGGGAATAAAGGAAACTAAGGGTTCCATTTTGATATTAAGATTTTTACAAAGTAAATGAGGAAATTAAACACATGCCTTTAAAAACTTAATGTAGAATGTTCTGTACCATTGAGGTAAAAAAGTGGTATATTACCAGAAGAGATCACTAGGAAACAGGGAGATCAAGGAGGATTTCTTAGAGGGCAAAGGAGCTGAAACACAGTCTTCAAGATAAGTAAGTTGTAACTAGAACAGAGTATTTTAAAGAGGAAGAATGGGAGAAAGAAATCCATAATCCATGTTTGAAAGGTGATGACTACACTAGTAAGACTGTACTAAAACATGAATATAGGGAGAGGCAGATGTTAAGACAGGCTTCCCTGGTAGCTCAGCTGGTAAGGAATCCACCTGCAATGTGGAAGACCTAGGTTTGATCCCTGGGTTGGGGAGATCCCCTGGAGAGGAGTATGGATATCCACTTCAGTATTCTTGCCTGGAAAATCCCAATGGACAGAGGAGCCTGGCAGGCTACAGTTCATGGGGTCCAAAAGAGTTGGACATGACTGAGCAACTAAACACAGAACAGCACAAGTGACCGACCTGGGGGATGAAAGGCTTCTTATTAAAACGAACTTAGATTCTGCACAGAATGGAGGGCCACTGAAGCTTTCTAAAAAGGAGAGGGACTCTCTTTCTGCCCCCATATTTTTTTATAAATTTCTTTATCTTTTAATTGAAGGATAACTGCTTTGTAGAATCGTGTTGTTTTTTGCCAAACATCAACACCCGCATGCCCCACACAAAACTCCCAGTGAAGCCTCAGAAACCATCCTTGTTACCACAGTCCCAGGAGTTACCACAGTCCCAGGCTGAGACAGAGTCTGGGACAGAATCTGATAGTGCTGAATCTGTACCAGAGCTTGAGGAACAGGATTCTACACAGGCAACCGAACAACAAGCCCAGCAGCAGATGAAACTGATGAAGAATGAGTCAGTAAAGCAAAACAGAGCAAAAGGGAAAAGGAGGCACAGACGTCTTTATCCAAAGTGGGTCTTCAAGAGGTTACAGGGGTTAATAGAGTCAATATCTGGAAATCTAAGAATATCCTTTTTGTCATCACAAAAGCAGATGTGTACAAGAGCTTAGATACCTACATGATTTGGGGGAAAGCCAAGATGGAGGATTTCTCTCACCAGGCACAATTAGCAGCTGCTGAGATATTCAAAGTTCAAGGTGAAGCTGTCTCAAACATTCAAGCAAACATATAGGCTCCAACTGTACCAGAGGAGAGGTTGATGAAACCAGTGTGGAAGTTAAGGACATAGAACTGGTCATGTCACAAGTAAATGTGTCCAGAGCAAAGGCAGTCCGAGGCACTGAACAACAGTAATGATACTGTAAATGCTATTATGGAATTAACAATGTAACCTTCTGAAAAGAGGACTTCTTTTGGTGTTTCAAAAGAGTAGCTGAAGCTGGGCTGGAAATTTGTGCTGTTTCTATTATTAATAAAGTTATGGCTTCTTGTTGGAAGAAAAAAAATAAATACAAGAGGGATATAACAAAAGAAGAATTATTATTTCTACCCACAAGTCTTAGTTCTACTACTAGAATTATGTAGAATGAGTCAATTGCTTTTCCATGATAGGCCTTTACTTAAACACTGCTTTTATGTTCTTCCATTAGAGGTAAAAATGAAGACAGATTAAAGGAGGGAGAGACTGAAATCATGAGACAGTTAAGAAGCCATTTGCCATCTGTACAAGGCTTGAAATGAGTACAAAATTATGAAGGGGAAGAAAGGGGTGGCTATGAGTCTATGTAACTACAAACTTTTTTCCAACCGAGAAATGTTCTTATAAGGTGAACATATTTCTTACTTATTTCACTTTAACATGCACTGCAAAACAAGCAGCTTCAAAACCAAGTTCTACACTGACACAGAAAAGTGCTGTCTAAAGAACAGAGGGCAATTCTGCAGAGACAATCACATTTACTGAGGGACCCACCCATGCAGCTCCAAATTTCCCCTGCATTCTTTCTAATTATTTTACATGCTTTTCTTAGGATGACGCTTGAATCATTAACATAGCACCCACAGAAGTCATTTAGGTTAACATTCCCTACATCATTAAAGGATGTTTTCCAATTGAAAAAGTCTAAATTATAAAACATAAACCCATGCCTGTGCAACATAAAATATGCTGTAATAAAATCCTAATGTTACTCTCTTTATGGCAATATTAACTCATCAATATTTTCAGAATATTTGGCAGTTTCATTTTGAAGATAATACTAAAACACATTCATAATTACACACAGTAAATAATGTCCCCTTACATGCTTCTTTATAGGATTTATGGAAAAGTATAAGGCATAAGCAATACTACATTAAAAAATAAGTAGGTGGCGCTAGGGGTAAAGAACCTGCCTGCCAATGCAGGAGATGTAAGAGATGCAGGTTCAATCCCCCGGTCAGGAAGATCCCCTGGAGAAGGAAATGGCACCCCACTCCAGTACTCTTGCCTGGAGAATCCCATGGACAGAGGAGCCTGGTGGGCTAAAGTCCCTGGGGTTGCAGAGTTGGACACGACTGAAGCGATTAAGCATGTGACCAAAATTAAAATTTATTAAAACCTTGACTTTAGTTGGCACAGAACTACTTTATTTGTTTTCCAAACTATAAATTTTAGGACGTCAGGGTTGGATATAAATTTAAGGTTCAAAATAATGTACAGTCTGTCCTATTAAGTTGGAAAAGTTATAGTTTATCAAAGATTAGTCTTGCCATTATTTAAAACAAGAAAGAGATTTTAAAATGCATTTATCAACCTTAAATCATTACGCTTACTTGTCTTAAGTAACATGTATCACTTGATATATGTATAATTTTAATTTACTGCATAACTGATTTTATTGAAGGGATCTGGGGCCTAAATTCATATTTACTGAGAAATTCTATCTTCCTAGAAATTATTGCTATATTAGCAATGAAACACACTAACATAGCTCAGCAATTAACCATACTGATATTGTATATTTCATATCTTCATGCCTTTCTAGAATGTGGTCAATATAATTTTTAGTCTTAAGTTAGTTTACATGAACTAATCACAATAAAGAAGGAAAAAATTTTAAATGAAGACAAGTTTTTAGTATTTAGATAAAATTCTTGTGATAATTATGTGTATTTATAGGTACAATTAGAGAGAAAACTAAAATTCAACAAAATATCAAGTAATCAAATTGTATATATCTCAAGCCACATACCTGACATTGCCCTTGGTGTTTCTTAGAACTGTTGCAGCAAAATTCTGTGTGACACCCACCAAGCTGATTCCATCCACTTCCACAATCTGGTCATTGACTTGTATTCTTTGGGAAAAGGGAAAAAATTACCCACAATTAGTTTCACTCATAATACATTCCCACTCACAATAAATGAGATGACAAAATATTTGATTTTTAAGATACTCTTACTGATTCAAAATTTGTCTCCAAGCCCCAGATCTTTGTCAAAGGTTTTTGTCTATTTGTGAGCTCAAACCATTTCATTAAAAAAAATTTAATGAAACCTAGAAATGAAAAAGCCCTTTGAAATCTTGACCAGTGAGTTTTTGTGTTTCTTGGATTACTTAACTTGTTCCTGAGGTTGCAGAACTGAAGCTACAAGTTCTCTGTGCTGTAGTAACTGAGAGAAGCCATGATCTCACTATGTAAGTACAAAGTATGTTCCTAACTTAGAAAGGTCTTAATAAATTGAATTATAAAGCTTCTGAAATTAGAGTGATAATCTAATTGATTCATAGAGAATAGTAATCACTTTCATAAATTTTATTTTCTAGTATCTAACGAGAGTTTCAACGTACTAGACGTATAAGAAAAAAACATCCTTCTTGGAGATTCTGCTAGAAGCTCAGAAGTCTTTTCATATGAGACCAAGTTCATGTAATAAAAGCAAAAAAGTGAGTCTTTGGATGAATCAGTTCAGTTCAGTTGCTCAGTTGTGTCTGACTCTTTGCAACCCCATGGACTGCAGCATGCCAGGCTTCCTTGTCCATCACCAACCCCCGGAGTTTACTCAAACTCATATCCACTGAGTCGGTGATGCCATCCTACCATCTCATCCTCTGTCGTCCCCTTCCCCTCCTGCCTTCAGTCTTTCTCAGCATCAAGGTCTTTTCAAATGAATCAGTTCTTCGAATCAGGTGGCCAAAGTATTGGAGTCTCAGCTTCAGCATCAGTCCTTCCAATGAACACCCAGGACTGATCTCCTTTAGGATGGACTGGGTGGATCTCCTTGCAGTCCAAGGGACTCTCAAGAGTCTTCTCCAATACCACACTTCAAAAGCATCAGTTCTTCTGTGCTCAGCTTTCTTTATAATCCAACTCTCACATCCATACATGACTACTGGAAAAACCATACATTTGACCAGATGGACCTTTGTCGGCAAAGTAATGCCTCTGCTTTTTAATATGTTGTCTAGGTTTGTCAAAACTTATCTTACAAGGAACAGTTCAGTTCAGTTCAGTCGCTCAGTCATGTCTGACTCTTTGGGACCCCATGAATCTCAGCATGCCAGGCTTCCCTGTCCATCATCAATTCCCAGAGCTTACTCAAACTCATGTCCATCAAGTCAGTGATGCCATCCAGCCATCTCATTCTCTGTCGTCCCCTTCTCCTCCTGCCCCCAATCCCTCCCAGCATCAGGGTCTTTTCCAATGAGTCAACTCTTCGCATGAGGTGGCCAAAGTACTGGAGTTTCAGCTTCAACATCAGTCTTTCCAAGATGAATAACACTAATTTAATAATTTTGGTTTAAAGTAACACTGGAAAAGACCTCAATGCTGGAAAGGATTGAAGGCAAAAGGAGAAAAGGGCAGCAGAGGATGAGATGGTTAGATAGCATCTCAATGAACATGAATTTGAGCAACTGGAAGACAGTGGGGGACAGCCTGGTGTTCTACAGTCCACAGGGTCACAAACAGTCAGACACAATCTAGCAACCAAATAACAACAACAAAGTTTTCTCCATGATTTTATAAAGGTGTGGCTTTATATTTTCATAAGACCAGTTAATCTGAACTTCCTAAAATTCTGAGACGCTGATCAGATACATTAATAATATTTCTACATAAAGTTTAAAAAGGAAAAACATATAAAAGTATGTCTAACTAAACTGAATCATAATACTAACAAACTTTTATATCAATAGTAATTATGTTTTATAGAGTGCCAGCTTAAAACATGATTTTCAAGATTCTTAGTTATTTCTAAAATCTTGGTCATGATGCTTTTAAAATATACAACTCTCCTTGTATTAAAGAATGTGCTTATTGTGGCACATTAAGAAGATGTAAAAATAGTAGATTGGCTATATTATATTATAGTATAGTACAATGGCTGCAGAAAATGCTATTTGCTGGTCTGCTAAATTGTTTGTGTATGACAGGTGATCATTACCAACTTCCAAGCTACCAGTGAGGGTCGTTACTAGAAGTCAGTTAACTAGGCAACAAGTTAAATTTTAAATAGATAATTAAGACTATGGTAACAACAACAATGAAAGAAAAAATAAAATCGTGTAAATAAGGTAATGGAACGAATTTTTGTTTTTTAAGAAAAATAACAGCAGGCTAGGTCAAATGTATCACCCTGTTTTAGCATATGAAAGAACATGATGATGATCAAAACTTGAATGTGTATAGCAAGTTGATGAAGGTTTAAAGAAGTACTTTTTATTTGCCTTGCTTTATACCATCTGGAGCCAAAAAGACACTATAAAATGTGCTGCATTTTGACAAAACTCTCTCAGTTTTAAAGGACTATTCAAAAGATAATTTAAACAGAGTGTAAGTATACTGAAAGATGGTAATGATAACCCTATATGCAAAACAGAAAAACAGACTCAGATGTATAGAACAGACTTGTGGACTCTGGGAGAAGGCGAGGATGGGAATGTTTCAAGAGAACAGCATCGAAACATGTATATTATCTAGGGTGAAACAGATCACCAGCCCAGGTTGGGTGCATGAGACAAGTGCTCGGGCCTGGTGCACTGGGAAGACCCAGAGGGATCGGGTGGAGAGGGAGGTGGGAGGGGGGACCGGGATGGGGAATACATGTAAATCCATGGCTGATTCATTTCAATGTATGACAAAAACCACTGCAATGATGTAAAGTAATTAGCCTCCAACTAATAAAAATAAATGGAAAAAAAAAATAAACAGAGTGTAATTTTCTACCACTAGAGTTACACAGGATGAGTCAATTCCTTTTTCTATGATAGCCCTTCATGTATTTGAAAAATGCTTTCATGCTCCTCCATTAGAGGTAAAGGATGAGAAGGACACTGGAGAGACTGAAATCATGAGAGAGTTAAGAAGTCATGTGCAATCTGTACAAAGTTTGAAATGGTAACAGCACAAAATTATGAATGAAAGTTCCTTTAACATCACAATAGTACATATTTTAGATTTTGGCCATTTGAATAGGTGTCCAGTAGTATTTCTCACTGTTTTAATTTGCAATAATTCACAGGTTGGAAGAAAACTTTTATATATCATATATCTTACATGGGGCTGGTATCTAGACTATTATAAAGAATAGTTACAACCCAATAATAAAATGACAATCCAACTTAAAAGTAAGTCAGACATAGAAAGAAAAATACCATATGTTTCCAAAATATATTTCCAAAATATGCAAGCAGCTCAAATAACTCAATGCCAGAAAAACAAACAACCCAATCAGAAAGTGGGAAAAAGACTTAAGCAGACATTTTTCCAAAGAAGACACATAGATGGCTAACAAACACATGAAAAGATGCTCAACATCACTCATTATTAGAGAAATGCAAATGAAAATTACAATGAGGTATCACCTCACACCGGTCAGAATGGCCATCATCAAAAAGTCTACAAACAGTAAGTGCTGGAGAGGATGTGGAGCAAAGAGAACACTCTTGCACTGTTGGTGGGAATGTAAATTGATACAGCCTCTATGGAAGACGGTATGGAGATTCCTTATAAAACTAGGAATAAAACCACTATACGACCCAGCAATCCCACTTCTATGCATATACTCTGAGGAAATCAAGACTTAAAAACATATGTGTATCCCATTGTTCATTGCAGCACTACTGACAATAGCTAGAACATGGAAGTAACCCAGATATCCACTGACAGATGAATGGATAAAGAAGTTAAAGAATGGATAAAGAAGTGGTACACATACACAATGGAATATAACTCAGCCATAAAACGAAATGCATTTGAATCAGTTCTAATGAAGTGGATGAACCTAAAACCTATCATTCTAAGTGAGGTAAGTCAGAAAGAGAAAGATAAATTTCGTATGCTAACACATATATATGGAATCTACCAAAATGGTACTGAACAATTTATTTACAGGGTAGCAGTGGAGAAACAGACATAGAGAATAGACTTATGCACGTGGGGACAGGGGAGGAGAGGGTGAGATGTAAGGAAAGAGTACCATGGAAACTTATGTTACCATCTGTAAAATAGATAGCCAGCAGGAATGTGCTGTGTGGCTCAGGAAACACAAACAGGGGCTCTGTATCAACCTAGAGGGGTGGGATGGGAGAGAGATGGGAGGGAGGTTCAAAAGGGAGGGGATATGTGTATTTTTATGGCTGATTCATGTTGAGGTTTCACAGAAAATAACAAAATTCTGTAAAGCAATTATCCTTCAATTAATAAATTAAAATAGTGGGGAAAAAAGAAGAATCTGAGGGACATTCTAAAAAAATATAAATACACAAGAAAGTAAGATATTAATGGGCAAAATGAAAGAACAAAATTTGACTAGAAAGTTTACATCTAAAGTCATGAAAAACAGAATAAACATAGAAAACAACATGTTCAGATCAAAGAAAAGAGAAATTCAATTTTTTTAATGATAAATTTTAGATAATCATAAGACACACGTGAAATAAATGAGTAAGTTCTACATGCATCAACTGGGATACAAATTTGGGAGTAACTTATATAGTCATTTTAGAAAATGACTTGAATACAAAAATGAGTTCAAGATGCTCCCCGTGGAAGAGAAGCATTCTTTCAATTCAGGGTGAAAGTAGGATCTATACCGAAGGAGAACCTGGAAAGTCTCTCTCTCTCCTTCTCTCTCTGTGTCTCACACACACATGAAAACACACACACAAACATACACACCAATAAAAACAAACAAACAAAAATCAAGGAAAGGGACATGGATCTCACTGAAATGAATGACTACAACGACCCTGAAAAGTGTAAGATAAGGCCTAACAAATGTTACTTGGATGTCTCAAAAAGGAGGCAAATAATTTTAAAGCAATAAATTTGATAGAAAATTAGGGCTAGAAACC